AACCTACGTCACCTGTGGCGTAGGCGTGACATCAGTTTCTCTGTCAAGGGTCGGGTTTACAATGCTGCGGTGCGCTCCATATTTATATATGGATCAGAAACCTGGCCGCTGCGCGCCGAGGACGTCAAAAGGCTTTCAGTGTTTGACCATCGATGTCTTCGGAGTATTGCCCGAATCTGGTAGGAACATCGGATCAGCAATTCTGAAGTCCGTCGAATGGTATTCGGGAGAAATAACTCACCCTCGATAGATGAACTGATCACACTGCATAGGTTGCGCTGGCTTGGCCGCGTGCTGCGTATGCCAGTTGACCGACTTCCTCGAAGGGCTCTTTTCGCCCAACCACGTGAAGGGTGGAAATGAGCCAGAGGCGGTCAAACAATGACTTGGCAGCGAAGTATGAAAGCCATTACCAGCGAACTCAGCTGCGCTGGTCATTGCCGTCTTCCTGGATGGGGACCCCGAGACGGTCCACATCAATGGCTAGAGACATTGTCAGATATGGCCCAGTGGCGCCCTCAATGGCACTCGTGCATCCAGGCTATTGCCTTCAATGCATAGCTTCTTTTCCAACCATCCTTCATTTGACAGCGCACTGACAGTGCTGGATTTATGCACCAATTTATCAGCTCCCGCCTGCGATGCGCAGCTACCTCCCCCTCCCCCCAAATCATCGGTGAACGAAACTGCAGCAGCTACAATCACTGTACGACGAGTACGCGGTTATTAGAGCTGATGATGGTGATGATGTCACTGGCAGAGCATGCACTGTAGTAGGACAGCCCACAATGCTGTATAGATTAGAAAAGTTGACCCTACACGTAGAGAATTCACTTAAATTCCTGGTGTTTGACCATCAATGTCTGAGACTTTGGCCAGGTCCGATGGGGAAGTAAGATCAACAATACTGAGTACGGCAGCTAATTCTAAGAAGAAGAAACTTCCACGATGAATGAGCCAGTTACATTTCATAGGTTACGCTGGCTGTACTTCGTGTGGCAGAAGAGCTCTTTTCACTCAGTCTTCTTACTGGAAACGATAGAGAAGCGGACTGTGGCCACTGCCGTCCCCCTGGGTAAGGACTCCTGGAATTGACTCGTTGACGGTCAGTGAAACTGGCTGTCATGCAGTTATTGAGGACCTTGCATCATAGTTGTCGCCTTCATCGCGTGACTGTTCAGTTTCCTGTTTCCTGGACTGCTAGAATGGTTCAGCACCAACTAAGTGATTTTACGACCACCTCCATTGGTTATATCTCTGCTCAGCCATTTTTCGATGACAAGATCCAAGGTGACCTTGGTGCATGGTAGATGGCTGATAAACTGAGCCAAACTTCATTATAGCTTAGATGAACAATGTGGAATAGCCGAAAAAATCGGCCAGACCCGAAAAGCTTCAGCTCACCTTAGAATCCTGTGATAAACTTCGGAGGCATGATTATTTTTTTTAGCATTTTCTACCACAAACTAACAAAACCAAAATACCCTTGGAGCATTCATAGCCAACAGGCGTCAAGATAGCTCACTGGTTAAGGCATTAGCTTGCACTGCAGAATGTCCGTAGTTCGAACTTGACCTCAGCTTCTCGACTGCTCCTGTCTAAGCTTGAACGACCTGGCATTATCTCAGCCCTCATGCCTCCCTCCGTTTGCTTGGCAGCTAGGCAACAGAATGGTGCTACAGTTGAACGATTTTTCCCAACAGGATGAACAACTGCACTACAAAATAGCGTTATTCACTCTCATTATCCCAGAGATTGTCACACAAGCTGGTAGTAATGAGTTCTTCCAGCGTCGATTTTTTAAAAAAATGCTGTTTTGTGCTCTGTCCATTCAAGTCCAGACTATCCTTAACAGGATATCAATCCAACTCTTTTGCCATAGTTATTTGCAATGGGTTGTTACGCGAGAATCCTTGAAAATGGAGCTGACGCTTTCAGATCCAGGTATGGCAATTTTCTATCAACCGCTATGCTGTGGATTTCTGGGGTTCATTCAGACACCCTAGTGGCTGTTTAATCTCGTGGTTTGTCACCCTCTTTCGGTCCCTAGCTGCCACGCCGCCCAAAGGGAGGACGAGGACTGAGATACTGCCAGGTTGCCCTAGCCTAGACAGGGGCAGTCGAAATCTAGTGATTGTACCTGGTTGTGTTACCGCCAGGGTTTCATTCTCATGTCTGAGACTGACTAATGCCCGGGATGCCACTCGTGCGGATCGAAATCATCTAAGAGGGAGAAAACCTTGATTCCCCGCGTACATAGCAGGGAAGAACCAATCTTCGGAAGTTCCAGTTCAGAATACAAACGAGTGCAGCGCAGTGACACGAAAGTGTTGTTACCGCCCCATTTCCATTGCGAGTTTCCTGAACACACCACAGATTCTTAATTGCTCAAACGAAAGGTTGGTCACCCAATTCAATTGGTAAAACCACATGTGGGTGTATGGGTTTGGCAGGATTACTTCTCTAGATGACAGTGTAAGCTGTCTAACACTGTGCGCACTATATAGCATCGTTCCTTCGGGGACCTGCTTGCTTCCTTTTCGCTTTTATGTTCTGGTCCATTTACCAGAAAGGAACTTCTTTTACAGCAGTTCTTTTCATCACCAATCACAAAGTGTATCAAGCTTTTACCATTATGTTTCTTTACAGCATACCGTTGTTGGTCCATTTCACTGGAAATTTGCCGCGTGCCAGCGCATCTTATTACACATAGCCATTCAGGGTTCTTTTCCGGACAACTACTGGTCTGTGTAATGGCTATGTTTTTTCGGGGAGAGAGTTTTCGAGAGTTTTTCGTAAGGGTTCTAAACAGAGCACCACATGTGGTTTATATCGTGCCACTTGCAGTTGTTTGTAAGTTACTTAATTTTCGTTTCCTACTAAGATATCTTTAGGTTGTGGTGCTGCCATAAAGAGGCACTATGATCATCGAGTTGCTGGCGTCGAGCGCGTCTTTAAATACAAAAAACTTTATTCAAGTGCGTGAAGTTTCTCGTATTCTCAATCTTTCCTTTCAGTCAAACGCCAAGAGGATGTAGAACTAACGAGCGAGAATCGTGATTTATACAACTAGTGACCCTTCGTCAGTTTTGCTTCAAATATACTTAGTTACACACTCCAATTTTAGCCTGTTGCACATAGGCTTTTCATTCGGTCCCTAATTTGATTACACGACATTTGAGTCGTTCATACGTTTCCGCTCCAGTTTTTTGAGGTTCATTGTTGGTTCATTCAAGGGTAGTGAACCCAGAATAAAGAGCTTTCGGATACTGCTTCCATTTGCCTGTGAGAACTTGGATTTGTAGTCTGGACCAAGAACTGTCTTGACGCACTGTTCGGGATTAAGTGTTACACTGATTGAAACTTCGTTTTTGAGGGTGAAAAGCTACCTGGAAAGCGGAAGGGCGCGGCGAGACAACGATCAGCAAAGCACCTTATTACGATTGATTGTGTCACGAGTTCTGTGATAGTCGTGTGACTGCAGTAAAATGTTCTCTCTGAGCTGCGGGCGTCTTTTTATTTATGAGAACAGCTACACTGCCTTTCCATGGGGAAGGACGGTTTAGAGAAGGTCGATCTTAAACACTGCATTTCGATCACATAGCGGTTGGAAGTGATTGCCGGTGTATTATTTAGTCCAGTTGAAGTACTTATCAAAGTAAAAAGTCCACTGCGACACAGTAAGCCTAGTAGCACAAGAAGTTAGATTTTTATGCATTATCTCCTGCACTCTCGGGCTAGACAATCTCATCGAGTGGTCAAGTTGGTCGAAATTCCGAGCTACTGGCTTCGGACAGAGCCTCACAAAGAAACCCCAACAAGTACCTCACACTGGGATCAAGCTATGAACAGGGGTTCAAGGAAAAACTACCTTTTGAGCCTTTAAGTCGAAACCTCAGTGTGATGCACTTCAACCAACCTTTTTTCGAGTAGTGACTTTTACCCACAAATTATGGGAGCAGTGATTATTCTCCGTAAACTATCTCTTCCGGCTGTAGGCACCACCACCGACAGTGCAATCCTGCCCGCTTCTATCAATTTTTCACCATTCCCGCAGAAAAATGAAAACCGGAAATGCACTGCTGGTGCAAAGCGATAGTTAACGTAGCAGCGTTTAATGTCTGCACTTTTTGCCAAGTTGGTCAGCAGATATTCCTTGCTCATGTTACGAATTGAGAATATTCGTAGCAAATTAGGTGAGAACGATATAAGAGAAGTTGAGTTTTGTGTGGAACACTTATTATGGTCGGAGTGTGATGGAATAACACGGCGTTAATGTACAGAGGTTTATTGTTTGAGGTTTCGGTTACTGCCGGTGGCTCTCTTCTCCGCCCATCGAATAACAGAGTACCACTAATCCATCTGCCAGTCCCCTAACCAATGTTTAGTGTCTAAATCGTCGCCCAGAAAAATGAACCAAAATGATCACTTACTAACCTCAGAACATATGATTCATGTTGCAGCCTTTAGTGTCCGTGTCGAGTTGGGCAACAGGTATATGAAATCCTGCTTCATCTGTCTGTCGATGCATGCTGTGTCTTCGAAACGCGCATACAAGACCCCACTCCGGTCGTTCACTTTAAGCCGCTTTCGACGAACTCAGATTTTCTATTTTTCTCCGGGCATTTGGTGGTCCTGATTCAATGGTCGTGATATCTACGGTGTAGGGGTTGCACTTCCCCAAGACTGAAAGTGCCTCACTTGACTGGATCCCAGTAAACAGTAAAGGGCTGTCTGGCTCAGTAACGCTCGATGCAGGTCGATACAGTAAATGATCTTCATTTGTCGTAGCGACATACGCTCCAACAGACTGCATTTCTGGAACTGAGTTCACCACGTCCAGTGGCGTAAGACAATGCTGTCCTCTCTAACCTTTCCTCTCCTCGCTACATCGCTGTGGTACGCAAACCGTCGTACTGCGATAAGGTGCTTCAAACGATTTCCTAACGCAACCGTTTCAGAGAACCGAATTCACCGGTAAATTACACGTTCACGTACGTAGTATACGGCGGAAGTCAACCAGTTGTGAGATCGACGGACATGAAACTGTCCAAAAACCGATTGCATTTAGGAATAGAGAGGCAGCAGAGGATGTAGGGGTTCCGACTGGGTACCTTACTATGTCAGAAGCGTTTGATGTGGGGCAGTTTTTGAAGTGTACAATGGTGATTTCGTCGTATAAGTGAAGCCGCCCTACGTTGAGAAGCATCGTAAAGCCGTTCCTTATTGGGAATCAACAATCAGCATCTCACGAAACTCCATGGTAATGAGCGGCTCATTTGCAGTGTGGTTAGTTTGCACTCGGACAGGATATAGCGCCGCTCATTCTTCAACCCACAGCACCTGGTTTCCCACCTGGAAGGTTCACTTGAACTGCGCCTTATTCTTCCTCCTGAGGTACTTATGGATTATTGGTCGTGTGAGACTGGACGGCTTTTAATTATCGGCTGGTTCGTATGAGAAGCCGAATCATGCTGCACTAAAGTCATTTTGAAAGATCGCGATAGTAAGAAGTGTTTTTCTTGACTACTGATTACTTTAGTGAGAATCCTCCAACAGCCGACTACTGATTTCACCCTTGTTTACACTTGGGGGTGAGATGGCCTAAGTGGTTAGAGCGCCAATTTACTGACCGGAAGGTCCGTGGTTCGAATCCGACCTCCACCTCTCGACTTCCCCTGTCTAGGCTTCGGCAACCTGGCAGTATCCCAGCCCTCATGCTTCCTTCGGGTGGCATGGCAGCTAGACACCGGAAGGGTGCTACAGCTGAACGCTTTGTTTCTTTTGTTTACACTCATCAGGTAGGTGCAGCCCATGAGTTTCGGTCAACTCCTCGTCTATGGTATTTTTCTTCCAATGGAATCTGGTTGAGTATTCTGTTGAGACCGATTTCGTGTGGAACAAATTGTAATCCGTCAATTTCCCAGATTTTGTAATCAATAAGGAACTCGGGGTCTGCGCCTGCTTTTTGAACCACTGGAAGGGTGAAATTGGTCATGGGCTGTCGAAGAGTTATCGGCAATCTTATGGATAATTCCCTTCAAGAAACTATACCGCGACATCTCGAATATCGGACCAGCTGAAACGTGAGGCGTCCATTATACAACACATTCAGTTGAAGACCACTGTCAAGCAGAGATTCCTTTGGGATCCTCTTGTTTCAGTTGGTGCGATATTCGAGATATCGCAGTATATTTCTCCGAGTCTCTTTAAACCAAGTTCTTAGACGGACATGCTTTTTTTCATACGGTCCTGGAACAATTACACGAGTAAATATGGTAATTCTTCATACCGTAAATTTTGAGAAGCAGCGCTAACATTCACTGGTCAGCGATTGGTGAATTTCGGATCTCTTGGTCGCTCATTCAATAGGTATGGTACGTTGGGGAATTAATGTGGTTGCTCAAGTCTAAGAAAGTCAGGGTGTCAGAATGGCTAGAATCACTTTTGGTCACACATTAAAGACGGCCCTAGATGGGAATCAGTATGGTGGATGTCACCAGATTCCTTAGCTAACCGAAAGGCGAGCACTAGCAAAAGCAAGTTCGACGAGAAGTACTGTTTACACCGAGGACTCAACGACTATAGTACCGATGACGTCAACTCATATGGACCTTAAGCAGTCTTACAACGAGATTTTCTCACGTAGGTGACAGCAGCATGTTCAATTCTGAAGACACGGAATCATTGCAGCTGGGCTCCAGTAAATATCAAATTTGGCAAAAGTCTGCTCTTATGGTCGGGGCGTTACGAATATTTATCAGTGCTGACGTTGACAGAGGAGGGCAACACCCAAAGTCGAGTAAGATCTGTTCGTCTGAGGTCCACTTTGGCTGATTGCTCCCAATTTGCCTCTCCTGTTCCGTTTCTATACCCACAAAGATAAAATTGCAGCATACAAAAATCTATTCAGATTTACACTTTGGGTACACTTCCTGTGGTGTCGTCCTTTGTGCAGATCAGTCGTGTTCCTTTCTTTGTTGTGTTTGAATCACTTTTTGATGACCAGATCAACCGGTGGAGTAGGACTATCTTGGAAGTCGATCAAAACGGACTGAGTTTACACAAGGCAAGCATATCAATACATATTAGATTACACCTGATTATGTTTGGGATGCTTCTCGGAAGTAATTCTTAATAAGCGCCATCCCTATCGAAACCAAATGGCTCATCAAATTTTTCATCACGCTCGCGAGTTTTGAAGATAACTCCCTTTGGTTTCATCGTTTGGGATTGGGACGACCCTGTTCAGATCTTCAGAATTGGATTGTCCATATGCAACTTGGAGAAACTATTGGGGATAGTTCTTGTCCTGGCAGTAAATTCGAACCACAAGAAATAATTGCACTCCCCAGTTGTAAATTTTAGTGACCGCTTGGTGTGTTCCTGGAATACGAACGCACTGTTCACGGGGTTGCTGAAATGCTTCGATATTCAGTTGAAGAACTAGACGCTCGACCAGGACTCATTGGAGCCTTCTGTTATCACCAAGTTATTTTGAAAACAATTTCACTTCGCGTGACCGTTAGGCAATTTCTCTTTATTCCATGTGGAAAATGAGTTGCTGGCTTTTGCTTAGCCTTTTCAAACGGTATAAGGTCGGCACTTCGCTGAGTAGGGCCACGTCATCAACATTTAAGTCAATTCAACTTTCTTGGAGCACAAATACTCCACCGTTTTTTCATCCGTTGCGGTCTAACGGCGCCGAAAGGTCTTCAAGCTTTCATACGACCAAATAATGTTGCAAGACTGTTGGGGGAAATAGGCATTGTGGTCGGTCATGGGTCGTCTTAGTGTAACGTGCGAACTCGAGCGATTTTTTCTTTCCTGCCCACTGTGATTGCGAAAAATTCCCTCTGGTACATTCACGTTGTAGTGCAAGTTCGATAAACGTGTTACGTGTGGAAAGTGCAATTTTTGGAAATTGCACTTTGCCTTGGGACCGGTTGGTTATTACAAAGTAGTCAGCACAGAAAACAGAAATTCTGCTAAAATTATGAAACGTCTGTCCATTTGAAGACTCCTTTGAGTTTGTACAAACACCCTGGTGTGATTCCTCAAAGATTTCTTCACCGATCTTGTCATCACCTCGTGACCACATCGTATCCCAGTGGTAACGTCCTCCGGTATTTCATCTTTTGTCTGTCTATCAATGTTCAGTATCAATTACTCCGTCAGAGTAATGGGACAACATCGAATTTACCTATATTTCTCCCGGCATTCGAGCTCATTACAACCCTATCAGGGTTTTCACCAATTCAAGCATGAGCAAAGTTCAGTGTTAACCGGGTACCACGTGGATATGATAAGGTAAAACTAGCTTGGTTACGCCATTCTTCTTAAGCTCAGCATTCGTGAAACCCATCACAGGTTTTTTGCTGTTGTAACATCTGGATTAACAAGACGATTCACGGTAAACTTTTGGTCTGGTTTTCTCTCGTGCGGCGTACTGTCTCTTAACGAAACCCAGTATTGAGGTAGCTGAAACCAAAAGCGATCGTCCTCTTGTAAAGAGGAGTTGCCATGTACAATAACTGGAGTATGCTTTCCCTCTGAAGAAACAAACTGAAAGGACTGATCTGAAGTGACCTCTTGCGAGAATGTGCTTCAGGAACAAATCAGAAGTAGTCTCTTCCGAAGGGCTAGTATCTTCAGTGTAAGAGCGGTATACAGCGTAGAATAGTGACGCCTCAGTCACTAGCTCCTCTTCACAGACGCCGTCGCTTACTCGTACAGCCGAAATGCATAATGTACAGCATATTTGCTTGGTGTACTGTGCGGAGTCGAGAGGGCTCAATGATTAGAGCACGAATTTACTGACCGCAAGATCCCCGGTCGGAACGCGTCTTCTGCATCCCGACTGCTCCAGTGTATGCTCGGGCTACCTGGCAGTACCCCAGTTCTCATGCTTTCTTCGGTTGGCATGGTAATTAAGCACCGAAAGTGTGCTACAGCCGATCCGTATACTATACACACGATCGGATTCTGGCATATAAAACCAAACAATGGCCCAACCTATGGGAAAGTATGATCTATTTCCACGTCAATTACCACTGAAGATTCAATGGCAGGTTCGGCTCGGTGGATGCAGGTGAGTCGATCATAGGCTTACCAAATATCTGGCTGGCCGGGTCACAAATAACCGGTATTTCTTTTGTCCTGCGTCTTATTCTGGCCCAGATTGACAGTCTTGCAGCCAGCCGTTGGTTTAACAGGATTTCTGACACAGAAACAACAGTCTATAAACGCTTTTGGTGACTCTACTTAGTAAAAAGCTGCAAGCGCTGAATGGTTCCGCAACACTTGAATGTGCTTCACAGCTTTTCGCCTGGTCTTCATGGAAATCAGCAGTAACTATTTTCATGGAACAAGGGGAGTATTTTTTTGTATGATCAGACAAGTTATGCGCACTAAAATCGTGCCGGTTAATGAGAACTGGGCGCTGATCCTACTTTCAGGGTACCAAAACAGTTTTGTAGCACTTGTAAACTGCTCTTTTTCATGCTCAGTATCATCTTCTTTTTCCCCATGATTATCAGTCACATCGTTGTACAAAAGCTCGTTTTACTGAAATACAACCGCTACCGCCCGCGTGTTGGCTCCAACGTGACTTTGAGACTTGCTGAGTGACTGTTGTTGTGACCGCCGGTTGGCTATATTTGACCGCTGCTAACACTAAACGTGAACAAACATTTTAGCTACAAACACTGGACTAATATACTCACACTTGTGGATTAATTTTTCGATCACCGGAGATCTGGATTACCAGGAAGATATAACTATTCTTGGTGTGGTGGTTCAACGGAATACGGAACTACGGAATCTCCTATTTTGAACTTTGAGTCAAGATTTACTTGGATTTTTCTCCTTGTAACTTTGTATTTGGCTTACACTAGTAATTTGCTCTGTTCACTAGAGACTCCATAGGGCCGTTAACCACTACAGTTTCATTAGAATCTTCATAAAATTCAAATCATGTACGGATTGTACGTTAGCTTTAGCTGCCACAGTCTCCACCGATTATTTTAATAGTTTGGCGCATTTACGCATTGAATGAGAGCTGGCCTCTTAAGTTTTTGAGCCGCATAGTAATCAACTATTCACAAAGGGCGTAGGTTAAATGTATGGATGCCGTTGGTTGAATGACCAGATTGTCCGCATCACCAGCCGTTGGTATTTGCCGCCCCACGGTCTCTGTCTATGGAGGCGGACTGGCTTTGTTGGTTATGACCGCCATGCTTTCTTTTTGGATAAGGGATTCACGTCTGCGATACATGTCAAGTGGTCTTGGTTGAAATTTTGGGGGTGACCCCTGAAAAATATATCCATTACAAGCTAAATCTCATGGGACTTGACTAAAGTTGTTCAGTTGAGGTGCGTGGGCTGGGTGGTCACCGTCGGATAGATGAGGATTATTGCATCGCTTATGTGTGTGAATCAGCTTAGCTCAGGAAACGTTGGATGCGAAACCACAGATTAAAATAGCTTTTATTGTTTTACTTCCTAAGGCATACAGTAGTTACAATTGCAATAACTTGTTGGGCTTTATTATGCTTTATAAAACATTCGTGGAAAAGGCAAATTTAGGATTGTATCGAGTAGCACGAATTGAAGAAAGGCGCGTTAAAAACGGGAGCATACTGAAAGGTTTCATGTACAAGCTCTTTACAAACGAAGATAAAGGGTATTGTTTGGCTGAAGTTATTGTACTGTTACACACGGTTGTTGATCTCACACTCCCTTGCGTTCGTCGCTTGACGAGTGGACTTGTTGGTTACTTCCGCTAGCAGCTCGGTCACGGTTATTCGATCGGAAATCTCCGATCCGACAGACAGTCGACTTTCAAATGTTGGCTGTGTGGTACACGCTGAGCTGACCGCAGCGTATCCGTCTGGGACTATCCCGGAATCCAAACTAGAACGATTCTTAAGCGCACGCTGTCTTTGGACTGGGGCCTGAGGAGACTTCGGCGCTCCGAAAGTGACGAGCGGGAAAGATGTTCGTGCGCTTGTGGATGTTGGGTCTTCACCTAGACGGACTGGTTCACTCAAGTTTTTTTCTGCCGCCCCTGTTACAGTCAATTCGTCGGGTTGGGTGTGTGACCAAGGCCAAGTAGCCATTATCCAATCAAATGAAGCGGACAAGGTACTTGTGGTCGATGTACACAACATCTGATCTGTGGAACGAGTGCGAAAGAGGAAAGGAATAAAGAGGTTGTTCCATAAATCTGTGAACCAGTTCTGTGAGGATTGCAAATCCATAGGACAGGTTAGGAAAACGCGCAAACCAAAAAGGGTTGAGCGCTGCTTCTGTTGTGATGTGGTGAACAAACGGTTTAGATGATTCCACACTTTTGGGATCCAGTTCATCAGGTGTGTGAGTGCTTGGTCCTCGTGTGAGCAGGCGGCTGTGCAGGTCTGTGGTGTGGTTTCTTCAAACAATCGTGTTTGCGCTAATTTTCGACGTAGGTAGCAACCGAGAAAATTGGTAGTTGTATCTAAGTCTGTCAAATGTTGGACGATCCTGGAAAAGATGTAAATAAGTGCTGTTTATTAAAAACTTAGTACTAAAGCATACTGATAATCGATGTCCTGATTTCTGTGCAGTGAATGTGAAATAGTTTGTATTTAAGATGTTGTTGTTTGGTGGGGGGGGGGTGAGTAATTTCGATGGTACTGAGTTTTTCATTCCAATCTCTTCTGAAGTAAGCCTACACCAATACCCATAGATGGTACGCCTCCGTTTCCCTGCTTGATTGTTTCAACCTCTGAGGTCAACATGGCTCCCTCTTCTGTCATGCTGATTTTACAAAAGAACTGCAAATTCGAACGACATGTCGCTAACGCACAAAACCTCATTTGCCGAACCAACTGAAAGTCTTAAAGCTCCAAATGACCACCAGTTTTTTAAACGAGGGTACATCTTCATGATAAACTCTTCTGTTTAGCAATGCTGATTCAGGTCTAGCTGAATGTAAAAAATCACCACTTGTAGATGACAGGGACTGCTGACCACTGTACAGGTCCGTCATGTTTCAGCATCATGCGTCAGCCACATGAGTATTGAAAAGCGCTCAGTTGAGGCAATAGAAGAATACTATTTAGCCTCTATCACAATCGTTTTAAACAACCAGGTACTGATCAATTTCCACCATCCCAGTGCATAATATGTATGAAATGGATCTCAATGGCCGTCTACCAACATGTGAAGATTTAGGCGTCCCCCCTTTAAGGTGGCCGTACTGTGTCCGGCTTTCAGTAAATTTCCTAATTCGTCTCACTCAACGGTACCCATACTATCTTCATAGAGGAAACCACTCACAAGGTTGCTGAAAACTCTCCGACAGCCCACGACCGGTTTCGCCCTTCTTGAGGCTCATCAAGTTGGCGCAGTTCCCGAGTTTCCACCAACCTTATGTTCTACATGAACCCGAATTGGACTGTTTTCGAGAAATACACTTATTTGCAAATCAATTTGGTTTTCACGAGAGACTCAAGTAAATCTCTCGTTTATGATATTTTACAACTGAATGTGCTGCACACAGGCCGCCTCATGTTTCAGTTGACACGATATTCGAGATATCGCAGTATATTTGCATACTACATTCATACGATATTTTCATACTATGTTGAACTAGCTGGTTGACTTGTCACTTGTGTTGACGAACGTCACATTCACTTGTTCAGGAATTTCACTTGGCTAGTAATGTGCTAACTGGTTTTTTCACTTATCTCCCTAAGCTTCAACACGTGAGCAATAAGGAGATAATGTTCCGATTCACTCTGATTGCAAGCCATAGTGTCGTTCACGCCACATAGACTGGTTCAAAGGGTTTAGACGCTGGTCTATAAGACGTCAGTACCCTACGGCGCATACTGGCCACCACTGAGCTGAGCTCAGATCAGAACTCATACTGTTCGGTTAACATTCTACCGACTCCAAACTGATGTAGTACTGTTGCACTGTTCCAACGTATCACAAACATCTTTTTGAATAGTTTTTTGGCGTTTCAGTTTATCCTTGAACTCTGAGTTTTACTTGATCGGATTTGTTAAATTAAGTATGAACATTACTAATGTGATGGTACTGTAGTGATATGGATAGCCCTGTTTCATACAGATTGGAAACGCAGTCATTCGGGATCAACGATCATTCTTGGACGTTTTCTCAGTGACGTGTCCACCGAGGTTTGTACGGATTTTTTCATTACACGAAGGAAACCATCACTTACGGATTATCTGTGTAGTGCAAGAGGGGCTTGGTCAAATTTGTTGTTAACTAAATTTCATATGACACCAGTCGGAAGGGGATGAGAACTCTGGACAGTCCGCTCCTGGTTTCACTCATTTTGATGCCTTGTTCTTGATCTCTCAAAAAGTTATTCCATAAACAATTGCTTTTACCAAATATTGGTGGTCAGTTCAGACTGTCATATGACTACTAAGGTGTCGTTCGTCTACTCACCAGTTAAATTAGTCAGCAGCTGGTTCATCCTAGAGTCACCCAGATAAATGGGCCGGCCACACAAATGGACAGGTGATTTAGATTTAACAACCCAAGACTGTCCTTGAAAGGGTCACTCGTCCGGTCCGTCTGTCCCCACCAGATGAGTCTTACTTGAGACGAAATGGCTTACGTGGTTGAGATTTTTGGGACCCGATTCAATGTAGACATTCAAGATGTAACATACTCATCATTAAGAAAAAGCTAAGACGCGTGTGCATGTGATTCTGATCGTCATATCATGGATTCGTGGAGGAGAAACTCTGTGAACCATGTTATTGTATACGTGTGTATACACTTGACGTATAATTCGGGCAGCAGGATGGACAGAAACCCCATCGGTGTAAAATATGAACAACTCACCCAGCCAGATTATTTTCTTGCAGGCCTTCCAATTCTTCATTATGCACGTCGCTCGTAGCCAAGATTATGGGTCTGAAAATAACGTTAGGGCATTGAAGTGACAGACCAAATGGCGAAAATTCCAGTAAAATCGGATGTGTTGCTTTGACGAATCGTTGGTTATACTTGGACAGAATTTTTGGTACAGGTTTTCATCACTCTTGATCCAAGTACCCTTGGTGGGTTCATGAAGAACATGTCACTTCGTCGTGCTCTAGCACGATCCAAAGGGGATTCCGTTCTGATATATATATATGGTCACTAACCTGTTTGGTCTGATCCTGATGCAACATTTTTGGTCGTGGGTCACAATTAGCTAACTTTCACTCCAACCATATAGCACCCTTGTCTAGACGGTGCACACTACTGATAACGTTGCTGAAAACTCTTCGATAGCCCTTGACCAGTTTCGCCATTCTTGGGGTTTATCAGACGCGTCGCCCCTGAGTTTCCACCAAAATTATGCTCGGGCAAAAACCGAAATTGGAAGTAATCGGCGACTAGCCTAACTGTATCTTGGCTGAAACTAGTGTTTAGGATATTCCTCAACTGAGGAAGCTTCACGGAGGCCGTGTTATTCGAGGTGTCGCAATATATTGCCTAGACGGAACACACTGCTCAGCATGGATTTAATTGGGTCTTCCATTAAAACCAAATTGGTGTGCAAATGAGCATTTCGCAAACTAGAATCTTTCTTTACCGTTTATTGGGTGTTGATCCCAGTAGTGTGTGATTTTGAAATGCTCGCTGGATTAAAATCTTTACGCTAAATTAAGTTTTATTGTCCGACGAATGCCATTTAGCTTGCGTTGGGAAAGTGCCTCAACATACATCATTCGCCCTTCGGAGCAGTTTTCTGCCAATTCAAAAGATAATAGCTGACCAACTTTTAATCACGTGGCTGTATGTGAGGAGAATAGTCTGACCGTAAATCGGTGATTGGATGCTACTAGCTACGGGTTTTTTAGGATAGGTGAAACATGCTTATGGTTTTCTCTGACATACTACGATAGGATGCTGATGAAGTATGGGATCTTCGGAGAGGGCCATATGTGGCCTAATGTCAGGGTGGCATTGTGACTGGATCAGCCGGAGTACCCCCGGATTTGTTTAACGCAGCGTCATCCGATGATACATACAGAGCAAGCCCTCAATAAGACGTCATGTGGCCAAGACCAACGGTATTCCTGTGTTGGTAGGATGAGTTCCCACGGATCGAAAAGAAGTAGCCACAGGCCAACAACTTATCTGTTTAAGATTTAAAGTGAAAACAAAACTTTTTGTGGGTGAGTCAAGTTTTTACGTACAAGGGCCAATTGCCGCACAGTACAGAGTGACTACCCATCTGCATCCATTGCTTCCCACAAGTACCATAGACAATCATTAGAATAGCTTCGATGGTGGAGACTTCGAAGGGTGTTTTTGATAGCTATTCACACAAATTACAACTTCGTAAATGATATTGATCTCTATAATTTCAGTTTGGTGGTACCCACCTAGCACCAAGATCGTGTGCTGCCTCCCAAAGGAAAGGACCCTCTCGCCATTTGGCTACCATATTAATTACTTTTACTACTCATTTGTATCCATCTATTCATTTTATTACTATTTTCTATCATATCATAACCTACAACGTTTTCTACTGTGTCTTAAATTTTCAAACGCCCTGCTTTTGAGTGGTCGGTGTGGTCTATCAAGTTTATCGACTGCTACTATAATTTTCATGGAATCAATATAAACCACTGTTTGTGACAATATCAAATGCCCATTCAAACGTGATGGATAGCTTGGATGGACTGCCGTGGAATTTTCCTCCCCGTGGTCGTCATGGTCATTCTCTGGGATAGTCTCCAACGGCCTCTGAACCAGTTCATTAGGATACTATGATGCATTGGTCGGTCTGAGGTCGTCTTGGAAGGTAAATGAATTGACATTCATGTTCACACGGACTAAAGAGACGTACACTTTGGATGAATAACAACCTTGGATTAGGGGTCTCCATCGGAAACTAAGTGTATCATAGTCAACCGAGCCCACCACCGATTTACAGTCAATGTTTTTCAATTGGCATGCGCTTAAATTGATAACCAATGCTAGCTAGAAAAAGCCCATGACTTTCTCAGAAGCCGTGGACTCAGTAGTCTTAAAAACTTAACTGAGGCAGGTTGTGGAGGTCCAAAGGCCCTGAAAGGTGCCTGAATTCCTATACTGCTGCGTACAAGAGATACCTCTGTAACCACGCCTGGATTTGATTAAAATTTCCGTCCTTTTTGCATCGGGTTATACATCAGCAATCATTGTTTGGCAGGTTTCAGGATTGACTTTTTCTAGCCCATCCTTCCTTTAGACAATAAAATATTTAATTTATCCCCATTCCTTTAGCAGTACATGGCTCACCGCTGTCGGTCCGACTGCTCTCCTTGACATTCATGGCGAAGCTGAAACCTCACGAACGAGATGAAAGTCATTCGGTATGAAGTGGAAATCGCGGTTCTGAGAGCATTTTCAATGGAGTACTGTCACAAGAGGAATATACTGAGTGAAGTTGTGCGGATCCCTTTTTGAGGATGATGGCGCTTAATTGCACATGCACCGATCACGATACCGGAAGCCTAAAAAGCTTGTGTAATCGGCTATGGCCGTTTGAATCTTCACGAGTCTTTATGTACTTGTTGTCCGGTTTAGGGTTCATTGCTTAACCCGTTAAAACAGTTCAAGCTTTTTGTTCTCTGTTTCTGATTAATTTTAAATAACCTCAGCCAAATGAATATTTGGCTTTCTGTGGGTTTCATTAACCAAAATATACAAATTACGCGGTAGAGTATTTGGGGCTGATAATTTCAGCATGCACTGTACCTGGCCTCTCGTTCATCACTACAGATTGCGCCCAAAAGTTCCTTTATGGGTCCGGGAAAATGATGCAAATCTTCGAGTATCGCCACATTGTGACTGCTTGATGTAACTTCGTCGAGGAATTTCTTTATTTCTCCGAGCAAACCTGACCCACCAGGTTTGATTGAGTATGTCCTCACCGGGTCCTCCGACTGGCGGCTGTGGGAATTAGCGTTAAATTGCAACTACTGAATTTGAGAAGTAGTTAAAAAAACAAGCGAATTTCGCCTTGCGCCGCAGGGCCAGGTGAAGGCACCATTTTGTCCATGGATTATTTAAATATCACAAAAAACTTCAAAAGGGGGCATAAGCAAAATAAAATCAGCTGGGCAGTATTAATCCAGGAAAATTATGACACAAACTCTTCGATAGCCCTTGACCAGTTTCGCCATTCTTGGGGTTTATCAGACGCGTCGCACCTGAGTTTCCACCAAAATTATGCTCAGGCAAAAACCGAAATTGGAAGTAATCGGCGACTAGCCTAACTGTATCTTGGCTGAAACTCGTGTTTAGGATATTCCTCAACTGAGGAAGCTTCACGGAGGCCGTGTTATTCGAGGTGTCGCAATATATTGCCTAGACGGAACACACTGCTCAGCATGGATTTAATTGGGTCTTCCATTAAAACCAAATTGGTGTGCAAATGAGCATTTCGCAAACTAGAATCTTTCTTTACCGTTTATTGGGTGTTGATCCCAGTAGTGTGATTTTGAAATGCTCGCTGGATTAAAATCTTTACGCTAAATTAAGTTTTATTGTCCGACGAATGCCATTTAACTTGCGTTGGGAAAGTGCCTCAACACACATCATTCGCCCTTCGGAGCAGTTTTCTGCCAATTCAAAAGATAATAGCTGACCAACTTTTAATCACGTGGCTGTATGTGAGGAGAATAGTCTGACCGTAAATCGGTGATTGGATGCTACTAGCTACGGGTTTTTTAGGATAGGTGAAACATGCTTATGGTTTTCTCTGACATACTATGATAAGATGCTGATGAAGTATGGGATCTTCGGAGAGGGCCATATGTGGCCTAATGTCAGGGTGGCATTGTGACTGGATCAGCCGGAATACCCTCGGATTTGTTTAACGCAGTGTCGTCCGATGATACATGGATGGCAAGCCCTCAATAAGACGTTATGTGGCCAAGGCCAACGGTATTCCTGTGTTGGTAGGATGAGTTCCCACGGATCGAAAAGAAGGAGCCACAGGCCAACAACTTATCTGTTTAAGATTTAAAGTGAAAACAAAACTTTTTGTGGGTGAGTCAAGTTTTTACGTACAAGGGCCAATTGCCGCACAGTACAGAGTGACTACCCATCTGCATCCATTGCTTCCCACAAGTACCATAGACAATCATTAGAATAGCTTCGATGGTGGAGACTTCGAAGGGTGTTTTTGATAGCTATTCACACAAATTACAACTTCGTAAATGATATTGATCTCTATAATTTCAGTTTGGTGGTACCCACCTAGCACCAAGATCGTGTGCTGCCTCCCAAAGGACCCTCTGTTGTCGCCATTTGGCTACCATATTAATTACTTTTACTACTCATTTGTATCCATCTATTCATTTTATTACTATTTTCTATCATAACCATCAATACAACGTTTTCTACTGTGTCTTAAATTTTCAAACGCCCTGCTTTTGAGTGGTCGGTGTGGTCTATCAAGTTTATCGACTGCTACTATAATTTTCATGGAATCAATATAAACCACTGTTTGTGACAATATCAAATGCCCATTCAAACGTGATGGATAGCTTGGATGGACTGCCGTGGAATTTTCCTCCCCGTGGTCGTCATGGTCATTCTCTGGGATAGTCTCCAACGGCCTCTGAACCAGTTCATTAGGATACTATGATGCATTGGTCGGTCTGAGGTCGTCTTGGAAGGTAAATGAATTGACATTCATGTTCACACGGACTAAAGAGACGTACACTTTGGATGAATAACAACCTTGGATTAGGGGTCTCCATCGGAAACTAAGTGTATCATAGTCAACCGAGCCCACCACCGATTTACAGTCAATGTTTTTCAATTGGCATGCGCTTAAATTGATAACCAATGCTAGCTAGAAAAAGCCCATGACTTTCTCAGAAGCCGTGGACTCAGTAGTCTTAAAAACTTAACTGAGGCAGGTTGTGGAGGTCCAAAGGCCCTGAAAGGTGCCTGAATTCCTATACTGCTGCGTACAAGAGATACCTCTGTAACCACGCCTGGATTTGATTAAAATTTCCGTCCTTTTTGCATCGGGTTATACATCAGCAATCATTGTTTGGCAGGTTTCAGGATTGACTTTTTCTAGCCCATCCTTCCTTTAGACAATAAAATATTTAATTTATCCCCATTCCTTTAGCAGTACATGGCTCACCGCTGTCGGTCCGACTGCTCTCCTTGACATTCATGGCGAAGCTGAAACCTCACGAACGAGATGAAAGTCATTCGGTATGAAGTGGAAATCGCGGTTCTGAGAGCATTTTCAATGGAGTACTGTCACAAGAGGAATATACTGAGTGAAGTTGTGCGGATCCCTTTTTGAGGATGATGGCGCTTAATTGCACATGCACCGATCACGATACCGGAAGCCTAAAAAGCTTGTGTAATCGGCTATGGCCGTTTGAATCTTCACGAGTCTTTATGTACTTGTTGTCCGGTTTAGGGTTCATTGCTTAACCCGTTAAAACAGTTCAAGCTTTTTGTTCTCTGTTTCTGATTAATTTTAAATAACCTCAGCCAAATGAATATTTGGCTTTCTGTGGGTTTCATTAACCAAAATATACAAATTACGCGGTAGAGTATTTGGGGCTGATAATTTCAGCATGCACTGTACCTGGCCTCTCGTTCATCACTACAGATTGCGCCCAAAAGTTCCTTTATGGGTCCGGGAAAATGATGCAAATCTTCGAGTATCGCCACATTGTGACTGCTTGATGTAACTTCGTCGAGGAATTTCTTTATTTCTCCGAGCAAACCTGACCCACCAGGTTTGATTGAGTATGTCCTCACCGGGTCCTCCGACTGGCGGCTGTGGGAATTAGCGTTAAATTGCAACTACTGAATTTGAGAAGTAGTTAAAAAAACAAGCGAATTTCGCCTTGCGCCGCAGGGCCAGGTGAAGGCACCATTTTGTCCATGGATTATTTAAATATCACAAAAAACTTCAAAAGGGGGCATAAGCAAAATAAAATCAGCTGGGCAGTATTAATCCAGGAAAATTATGACACAAAGATAGGGCATGGAAGAATTCCACCTATTATCGGCTTCACTCGGCAACAAACACTGCATATTCAAGCGGCCGGGGTATAGTAGGCGTTATTTGGACCGACGAGGCTCTCGGTCTACATATGCAGGTAAAGTTTAATAAGGAACACACTGAAATAAAAATACCACCAAGTTTCTGTTTTCTAGCCAAAATAACCTAGTACTAATGAGAATAGCAGAGGTTTTACCAGATGAATAGCTTAGTGATCATTTGAATTTAAAAGTTCTCAGGAAAGAAAAGACCTAATATGTTTTTTCTATGTACCTCAAAACAGGCCCAAATTTACTCGTCACCTTTCCATCTATGTAACAAAGCATGATTGGCATCAAGGTGAGGCTAATGCCTTCCCCCGAAGTGAGGCGGAACAAACACAAGACCTGCTGTCTATCAGTTAGTTGTTCTACCCGCTGGGCAGCTACAAAATTGCCAGACGTCAAAACTGCGGTTGGGCCTACGTGGCACCTCGTTGTTTATTCACCAAACGGTCTAGCACATAAACACTATCACGTTTACTCGTAATCAATAGCTCTGATGGTGATATCAGTCACGTACAGGAATTGCATTGGTTCAAACTGATGAAGACGCGAAGAGGTTCGCACTCCTCCCAAACTTCAACCAATAGAAAACACGTCTTATGAGGTACAATTTCTTCAACTCTATGAAAATTACTTCGTCACTTCGGAAACCCATCGTACTTGTCCCACAAAATCGATGTGCAACTCCAAAGCGATTGAAACAAGTGTAACACCGTACCTTGCTTGGATTACAAGATTACTTAGCCATCCCATTGCTTACATTGCAGCCGGTATTGTTTCAAATAAGGTTAATATTAGGAGAACCAGTTTGGAACGTAACGGGACTACATAACAGATTATGGAATAACCTTTTTTCGTTGAGACAGATTTCATTGCTTGTTCTTCATTCGCCCTTGACAGATGAGCTGTATTCTTGGTATCACTTTTTTGATCCGCTTGTACGCGGCAGTGATCAATGGATCAGCCGGTTCGCACGTTCATTGACTTTTTCTGGCTTGGCTAAGCGCACCAGGTTATCAGTCGGTTCTCCAGACCGGGGTTCGCGGTAGTAAGAAGGCATTAAGGAGACTGTGGTCCATAACAGTTAGTAGAAAGAGCACGGCTATATCTGTTTGATGTTTAGAAATAACATTTAACTAAGGATGTCCACTAACACATACTCAAACGAAATCCCGGCGTTATCCGGCTAAATTTATGAGTGATGGGTAAGTCAGCCAGACTAGACTGATCGCTCGTTTCATGAGGAAAAACCGAAGTACTCTACCTACGGATTCTGCCTTTGGAGAATACAGTTCACCGAAATGCGTAGCGCAAGAGCTACACAGACCGGTAAGCTATCTAACAGACATTTTGTATGACTATTCCTTGAACATCAGTGAGAATGGATTGAGAAGGGCATACACACCTACTGTGCTTGCCTTAGCAAGTTGCTTCTAAGAATTTAACGCAGATTCATGTGACCGGTTTCACGAGGATTGAAGCCATTGTGACCAGAAATTCACCTTTCTATACTCGAAAGCTCATTTGCTTGGGTTATGAGTATCAGGTAAATATAATAGCTACTAACCGTTTTACAAACAAAATCATTTTTCGGGCTTGCGGCTCTAAAAGAAAGCAATGACCCCAGCTAAGCTCCTATAAGTTTTTTTGACCGATTCCGCTTGGTATTCATGTTCCACTGGCCCCGAGTAAACCGGTATTCCAGCGGCTTTATGGATTTCGAACATGGGAAAACGTGGTAAAAAGCAGCCTCAAAAGGGTGCTGTTATAATTAGAACTGATCACTCGGGTGCTAAATTTCGCTTACCAGGATAAAGTTACTTGAGGTTAGAAATATCACATATGGCAATACCATGCACCACTAACCTCTTCAACAGCTCTCTGGCCAGTTCTCGGAGAATCCGTAGCTTTCCTGTACCAGGGGGTCCACACAGAATGTTAAATTGGTTATTCTGTATAACGGAGAAATAGTGTTGCAGCAGTTTCACAGGAATCAGTGTTTCGAAAGACACAAGGCTGAAATCCCCCGACCGAGGGTTCTTAAAGTCGACAGACTCTCCAGGAGATGCTGACTGGATTCCCCGAGGATTGGTTGCCACAGCCAGTGAGACAATCGCATGCAGAATAATAACTTTTTCGTTTTCCATGTGTAGAATGTCTTCCAGCCATTTTAAAGGTACTTGGGTTTCGACACAATCTTGTGCATAATCGCTTGTGAATTCCATTGGATTTTCGACAGATCGTCGGCGTATGATGGTTTTGGAACTGGAAGACGTTTGTAAACGATAGCCTAGCTGATATGCTTCCACAGCCAAGGTGTGGAAGCCCAATTTTTCTTCGGGATCCAGAAACGCAAGGTGGTCCTACATGAAAAGGCGGAGAAACGGAAGTTTATCCAGCAAATGTTAATAATAATCCCTCAAAAATCTGCAATCCCGTTGATTTGGGATGGACATCGCTCACATTCAAGTACATTTGTTAGCTTAGCTGAAGGGTGTAAAAAGGCTATTAATATGGAACCTCTATAAACCCGAAACAGTGGATAAGGGATGCAGCCCTCTTTGTAGGTTCGTTGTGTCCCATGGCTAACTGAGTGATATATACAGGGAGAGGTATGACCGATAGAAAACTTTCTGTCTGAACACTGCATTTCCAGTTAAATTATGCCGGAGTATTTCAACGAATGAAACGACCTGAAACCCGCTCCTGTAATCATCCGTCCTAATTACGTTACACTTTGTAGCACTCTGTTCATCATGCATAGTCACCGAACGTTTTCCGATTGATTTGAATTTGTAGACTTCATTTATGAGTATCATTATACAGAACAATAGTAATCCGTATTTGTAATCCATCCGTGATTCAACGACAACACTCGAAATTTCCCCATAGCTGATGGAAATATGAATGACGCATTCGGGAACGGAAAGATCCCTTCAAAACCTGTGGGGAACGGAGGAGATATTCAAGACCAGACCACGTGATTTTACTCTGAAATGCAAACAGAAAAGTGGTGCCGTTTATTGCTGTCCAACCATATATAGCTCAAATACTTTCTTCGGCCTGAACCCTTCCAACAATGATCAAAATATGCACAGTCTCCTGGACTGACTTCTTTTTGTCAAAGGAAATCCACTACTTGAAACAGTCCAGACCTTTATACTTCTATCCGGAAAAGATCCGTTTCATTTATTAGACTACCCATAAGTGTGGCAGTAACACATATTCAATAGTTAGCGGCTGTTGCCAATATGTGAACCGCACTCGTCAGACTAGTCCAGTACATTCCGTGAGTCTTGAAGGTTCGTTTTTGGAATGTCAGGCATATAAGTCAAGGAACCTGTTCTTTGTAGAGGACACACGAATATTTCTTATCAGCCACCGTGTATCGTTCTCTATCCTGCAAAGGGATAGGATCACTCTAAAGCCCTGTTCTCTTGTGGTTTCACTTCTGTGCCTGCACCACTGTACATAATATGGAGGGATGAAATTTTTCAAATAAGCTGACTGATGGTGGACTTGTAAATTCACATATTCTTTAGCGGTTGGTTTTTAAACAACAAGGTTGTTTCTCTTCCGGTTTCAACGATGAGTTCCTCTCAGATTTCACTCAAAAACGCTCTATTTGCATCTTAGAGCTGTCTAGCTTTTTGCCGACCCCTTTGATGCAATTATCTACACCACTGAATGCCGAAGTAGGTCATCATACTTGATGGTTGACCGAGCGATTCTTAACCCGCCGCATATGTTTGGTCACCGTGCAAGGAGATTTAATAAGTGCACTCAATGCTGCAAGTTAGTAGCGATGCAGTTACCAAGTTCGGCGGACAGATCAATGAACATCTGAGCAACTGCCGATGAATGCTCCAGAGCCACCAATATACTGACAAACTGCCATCTTTCCAATCTGTTGGTTCTGCACCCGTGGCGATTGTTCACAGGGAGAAGAATGGCGACTTCCAAATGCAGGCTTTCAAACGTTATTGATCGACAACAAAATCATGACAAGTAGTTGATCGTGAGTCACTCACAAGTTTACAGTCACCAATCGAGTCTTTAGACGTTCACGTGAAAACTTAGTTTGCAATGGTTACTATAACCCAGACAAGTATGAAGGTTTTTCCAAACACTGAGTTGCTGGATTACCAAGTGAAGAAGTTTTCGATTAGGCTGGAAATTGTTCTGTTTCCATTCAATGTACACAACGTATTAAACCGTTCCATGCCCATCCACCTGCGGCACAATTAGCGTGAACGACACAATCTTGCAAGCCAAATTGATCGACCTTTAATTGACAGTACATAATGAAGTTTTCAGCGATCTCTTGGACAAAAACGCCACCTTTAATAGAAGCTGACCTGCAGGACCGAAGCCGAATTCATTTCAGTTAACGTTTGATAGGAATACATGGTCAGTCTTATATACGATAACAAAGTCCTCGTACTGTTTCATTGGGCGCCCGACTGGTCTTTGTACCATTTGTCTTGAAAGTTTAGTTTCTGCGAATCAGGCAAGGCGATGACAAGATCTTCAACTCTTGAAATACTAAAAACTGGAGAAGGACCTATATTTGGGTCCTGGGGTTACGGGATTACGGATTATAACCGGATTACGGTTATAAGCATGCTATTGGGGAGCTATTAGTAGGCATTCTGAGCCCATCTTCCCTCTTATTGTGGGATAATACATATTCGAATATAGCACCAATTCAACACCATTCTAATGAGCTGAGTTCGTTTCTGAGTTCATTGGATTGGTAGCTACAACTCTGGCCATAAAAACACCGACTTTGGTCCAATGTACAGTGCATCAAGCGGCTGTAGCCTTACAACGTCTTGATCTTGTAGTAAGGTTGAGGTATTCCCCTGGGAGAAATCAGATAGTTTTTCGATGCACAAAGTCTCATCGTCGTTTAGCAGCTTGTTCAAGGTTTCTGTTTTCTTCAGTGTCCTTATCGGGGTTGAGGTTTCTAAGCATGCTGATTTTCAGTGAGGCTTCTCAAGTAGTGACAGCCACACAAAGGGACAATCAGACACTTTCAGCAATTGTTTCAGTTGAGACCGGTTATTGTTCTTTGAGTTTTACGTAACAGTGCTAGTTTTCTCATGTATGGACCAGTTTACGAATAAACCCTTAGCGAAATGCTTAAAATGCATTCTGCTTTTTACTATTATTCTAGTTTAATGTGGATACTACTGATGAGGCATGCGAGTAGAGTTTTCCCGTAAATCCGCTTCGCGTCTCTTGAAAAGTGAGATCTATTATGGAATTTGTGGAGTCGCTTTGTAGCATTTGAGTAACAGTCAATGAATATCCAGGAAAGTTCAGGAAGGCGCGTTCAAGGAGAAGATGGATATTCAGTTTTGCAAACAAGATGCATACGAGAGTTTTTCTCCCCTGTCTAATAGTCTGTAGCTGTTCAGTTGGTGTTTCTCAAATAAACATCTCCGGAGCGAAGCCCTTCCTTTTCACTAGTAGCAACATATCGACTGTAAACCCCATTCAGTCAAGAGTATTAGTCGTTTTCTTCACTACAGACCGGATTAAGGATCTTATCGGTGGGCCATGTACTTTTATGAGTACTTGATGGAGGCCATATGTTCAGTACTGTGACTGTTTAGGATCCATTTATTCTGTGCAATTAAATCACGAAGGTGTTTCAGCATCTATAGTGTGCATTCTACTAATCATACAATCACCAACAACCAATCCAAAACTAGTTGCGGGTGGCTGCACGCTCACATCACCCTTTGTTTGAACAGTCGTCCTTCTGTCGTGGCCCAATCATTTTGTTGTGTCCACACCAAAAGGGAAGCACTGCACTCGAATCCGACTCTTTTTAGAGTTCATATCCTTGGCCAAAACTTTCCAGCAAATTCCAAGTGTCTGCGGGACTACTTGACTAGGAACTCCTTATAGGGCCAACGATCGGCAAAATCAGGACAGCTACTGCGTAGTCGTTCGAGTTGATGGGTCCACTACTCACATCACTCGAGTGTGAACTCATTCACCTGTTCACATATGAAAATCCAGCACGTCCAGCGTGCGTTGGTGTAATAATGGTAGCACACTGGTCTCGCATGCCTGATGTGCAGAGCTCAAATCTCGGCACCACTGACGAGTTTAGTAAGAGCGAAATTCGAGTCCACTGCTTGCTCCATTTGGTGTGGACTCACCAGAATACTTGAGCCGAGACAACAGAACGACTTTTCAAACGAGACTGACGAGAG